CTCTCTCGGATTTATCGATGCTCGGAATTCAGGTCTGAACTAGTAACAACAGACAGTAGATGTTCTTTCCGGTATTATATAGTTTTTACCCGGTAGCCAAGAAACTGGTAAATTACATTTCTAAAATTTACTGAAAGGCATATACGGTTAAAATTACATCCAAGGGGCAGATACGGTTACATTTGCATATAGAGATAAATTATAGTTAGTCATTTGCAATACCCGTTACAGTTATACAAGAACCGGACCTAAATGTCGCCAAGTGGTCGCTAAGTTTGGCGACTTTTGCTGATTTCTCGCCACATTTAGCGGCAAATTTTGTCTCCAAAAGCATTGCCAATTTAGCGAGACAGCTATTTACTAAATGTTAAATACACTTGCCCCTATATCCTTATTTTTCAGGGCAAAGAAAGCATCGTCTCTCTAGATTATCATGTTACGTTACACATAAAAGATAAAACTAAATTAGAAAAATATATAATTTTACATATAGTTTCATTGAAATGATCTACATATGTGAAAAATTGGTAGCAGTATTTTAAGAAATTACAAAGTGAATTACAATATTATGCAGGAACTATTATTTTTATTAGTATTGTTGCGTTCTACAGGTTCGTGGATTTGCAGTAATCGATGACAACTTTTGATGAAGAATCAAAACACAATTTATTCGCCAGTATTACACAGGATAGTTCCAAAGACACGTTTACACTAGTCGAAAACTTACGACCAACACATCGAAACAATCAGCAACACAGTCTTCAGGCTATAACGGCGAAGACAGCTTCGCGGCTAAGTACTAAAGTATAGCTTCTGATTCAGTAATCGTTCTCAAGCTAATCTCTGAACTCAAGAAATTACACTACACTACTTTCTCCCAGGTCAGGCAAGGCATAATCGCTTTAACCTACCTTGGAGAATATTCCCGAGAAAACCGCTAAGAATGCGTTTTATAATGTTCTTGGTCCGTTTATGGCATAGCACCAATTTTGTCCCCAAATAGTATCGCCAAATGAGCTACTTCGCGCCAAATGTGGCAACCCTAACCCTACGTCGCAAGGAAATTACCTCACCTCAGCTGAGCATTTCCCAGCAGTATTTTAATTTTAGCTGACATTTTAAAGGGGTAAATAAATCCCGTCAAGCAGGGGTTGCTAGGCGGACAAAATGTAAAGCAGCATACTTCAAAATAAATACGTATAGTCATTATATTATTCAAGAATTGTTTTCTTTCTGAAAGGATTTGTTATGGTAAATTATCTTGGTTTAGTTTATTTAATTATGGCAAAGCACTGAAGGGCTATCTGTTTAAAGGGAGAGATGCCTTCCTAGAAGGCTTTCTAAGGGAGACTGGCTCGTATACACGTTACAAATGGAGAAAATCACGAAAACGCCCTTATAGCCAGCCTGTTCTCCAGAATTCGAACCCAGTAAATTATCCAAGATGTTTTAATTACCTGGATACTAACAGCAGACAAAATATAGTATAAAACAGAAAAAGGGTTATAATAAATATTTATAAGCGTTTTTAAGTTATGAACATGCAACTACGGGATTTTCAAATTACTGATTTTCGGTTTTCATACCTCATCTTTTCAAAACAGCAACTGTGAGCAGCTGCTTTCTGACTGAATTTGAGACACACTATCGTTACATTTCTACAAGGAATAGAATAAAAAATTTTATGCCTCATAAAATCACAATAATAATTTCAGAAAATCACAGTTTATCAATTTAACCTTGGTTATTTTTCGTCTTTAATGAAAGAAAGTAGTTTAATAAGGAATATTTATTTAAACATTTATGAAACAAGTATGGTTTTCAATAATTTCGTTTGTTGACAAAAATAAGTACCATTTTTTTTCTATTTCAGTTCGTAATGATTTTTTGAGAATGAATCCTGTATGAAATATGCGTTGGAATCTGTCTTAATTTTATACATTAAATATGCTTCTTTTAAATTGTATAAAGCTTCAAAGATTCATATTTTTAATGCATAAAGATGTATGTGATCAGGAAATATTTGAATTTCAAAGAAAGACTTCTGAAATCTTTGTAACTGTGTTTTCCTTTTATTTTGTTTTCCCTTTATTTATAAATTTTATAATCAGAGTCACTGATTTCCTTTTAGAATTTTGCAACTCATAATGCTATGTTCCACCGCTCTGGGCGGCCTCTTTGGCTAGAGCATCCACTCTCTCATTACCACGAACACTGGCATATAAGCCTTCACCCAATAAAAATATAGATTATGTTTTTTCCTAATTTTTGGTTAGGAATTTCCTTGATATTATTCAATATAACGTTTTTGTGGACTGGGGAAAAAGCGCCAGCAGTGCCGATAAAGCATCAGAGTATATGTTTATAGAACAGGACACAAATACATTATTTTCAATCTATTTCAATGTTTCGTGTACCGATAAAATTTCAGCTTGGTCTACTGAATTCTCCGATTTCATCCTAATTCGATAACTGTCTATTTTCAGAAGGTGAAAATATATAACAAAGACACCACCGATGCCCCTCTTTAAACAAAGATCCATCAGAATATACGTATATTTCAATTTCGTTACTAAGATAATTATTTTGATTTACAGGACTACCAAAGACATTACTTAGATGAATTTATCTTGCACAATATTGAAGGCTGCACTATGCATTTCAGTTTCATTGTATTTCATCTGTGAAAGAAGACTATAAACATTTGCTCAATGAGAGTGGCGGAACACAGCCACTTTTGTTAATACCATTCTAAAGGATCCTGTGATCGCAAACAGCCACCTTCTTTGCAGTAAATCCAAGTTCATTCTTAATCTGACAAGCTACCCTGCCCGGCAACCCTAGGCTTCTATACTATATAATAGTTGTATAACATTTTTGTGTATTTCCCTCAGGGTGTTGCTTTTATATGCCAAGGTTTTTGTTATTATAAAAGTTTAAAATTTTCTCAATATAATGTTGTATTTCTTTAAAATGACCCATAAAGTTTACTTTGTTATCAATAGGAGCCCCAAGATCTTATTCTTGGGACGCAATCCGTGGATCCGCAATCCTTATTCGTGGACGCAATCCACGGATCTTATTCTTGAATTGCAAATCCGCTTTCTCAATAGTTTGTTGACAATGAGGCTCCAGAACACGAGCCCTGGGGACATCCTTCTTTAATATCATATGATAAATTCACATTATCTGAGTTACTCCTAAAAATAATCGTTCCATTTTGCAAATACTCTCTAATAATATCATATATCTGTTTATTAATACCAATATCGCTGAGAGTGGAGAGAAAGAACTAGAGAATTGAATCAAAAGCCACACCCCCAGGCATCGAACGAGATCAGGTCTGCGTGACAATTATTTCCTTTCTCTCTGACAGATTGGATAGTCCTGTATAAAGCTAATTCTGCCGACTTTCTACGTTGAACACAAAACTCATTTTCACAAATAATATTATTTCGACTAAGTATGTAATTCAGTCGATTTGTCAGCAGTTTATCAAAAATGTTTGAAAAATTGAGACAAATAGGTCTATGGCCTCCCGAAGTCTTTGAGATTAAAATCCACCTTCCTATTTTCCAACAATCAGGAAAAACTCTAAAATATAAGAACTTGAAATAATAATAATATATATAATTTGAAATATAATAATATAGTATAATTTGAAAATAAAACCCTGATTTTTGTTGTTTGACTTCTAAATTAGTACTTGTTTGGCGTATAATTGTATCATAATCATATAAGAACTTGTTGTACCACATAATAAAAAAGGAAGCATATTCATGAAAAAAAAAAAAAATGTTTTATTAAAATATTGTCGATCCCATCAATTCCAGGGGCGGTACCCATTCTAAAGCAGGTGATTACATTAGTTATTTCCTTATAAGTAAAATCTACCTCTTCCCCATTTTCCTTCATATAAACATCTCTGAAATCAGTTTCAAAAACACATTCTGCCAATTTAATGGTCTTAATCAAGTCATCGTCATACTTTTCAATAGATAAGATATTTTTGCAATCTTCCTTAAATTAACACCCATTCTATCTTCTCTTATTGGTGGCTATCATAAGGAACTTATCATAAAACATTTTATTTTTTGCATAATTATAGCTTTTATATGGAATCTTAGTTCTCTTGATCCTTTTCTTATAGATAGACAACGCCCGCTTATATTCAATTTTACCCTGGTTTCTTAATTCAACGTTCAGATCTTTAACCTGGGTACTCTTTCTTAAAGCACGTATTCTCCGCCTTAATTTGTCCAGCTCTGTCTGTAACGTTATAAGGTATTTTTTTCCCTCTTTCAAGCACGCCTTCGTGGTACAACAGTAGCGCACTCAGCAAGTATTCGAGAGGTCCAGGTCTGAGTCTCGGTGAGTGCATAGCTCATTTTTCACATTTTCTTATAATGCGCCTAATGCTAGATATGCGGTGACGCAAGGCTATACCACCTAACCTCTCGGTAGAATGATGGCATCTCCAACTCCCGTAAAATGTTTACCTGCCTATATCGAGAAACCTTAACATTATATATTAACTGGAATTTAAAAGAGTAATTGGAAAAGAGAAGGACAAATTGGTCTTTTAAATAAAAGTTAATGAATGCAAAGCTGAGCTCGCATTGTTGTTATATAATTGAATTTTTTGCATAAAGTAATTTAATTTTTTGCAACTGTATTTATGAGTAACTTTGTTACTTTGAACCCAACTCTTAAAGCAACACAGACAGATTTTCTATTTGTCGAATATGAGATTTTCCGTAATATTTTGGAATTATACGGAAAAATTATTAAAACTAATCATGAAAGGCTTCTTCAGGATTACTACTAATTACTTATTCATGAGCACAATGCCAAGTAATCAAACAGGAAATAACTTAAAATAGTCTGTATTAAACTTAAGTTATTATTAAAATTTCTAGCTTAAATACGAGTAGAATGTGTCGGTGTTCTCTTTTAAACAGATATTCATTTTAATAACATTATATAATATTATACTATACCTTTGAAGATTTATGTTACTTCGGTTGGGTCAGCAGTTTCAAAGATATTCCATTACTTTAATTCTGAAATTTAAAACACATTGTATAATTAGAGAAAAATATTAGTTTGCTAGCACAGCGCAAAAGAGAAATTTCAATTCTCTTTCGAACTGTATGAAAAATTTATAGATTGCAGTAATAACATGCAAAATTTTCAAGAGAATGAATATTGTGCAGACATTTTAAAATACAATATAGTTAGACACACAGAACACAAAAAGAAATAAACTAAAATTCAGGCAATACAAGAAAGGCAAAATAGTTACAATTTTGTGTGTCTCATTTTGATTTTCGTACATACAGGTAGACTAATAAGATGTATCTAAAGACATGCAAATACTGTATACAAATAAATTATTTCTAAAGGTATAGGAACAATACAAGAATAAAAGATTAACGATTTTACTAACGGTTAAAGATAAGAAAGCCTGGACAAGAACATTCATAAAACTCTTTCTGTTCTAGTTAACGATCCTAATTCCAATCCAAATTTGCCTTCGACCTTTAAAGAAATTATGTTTTAGTTCTGGTTTCACAAACAGATAGCGCCACTTTCTTATTCATGTCCAGGCTTTCTTATCTTATCTAATCATTATTTCCTATCTGGTTCATTTGCGGTTTTGCAGCTGAAGATGGTGGTTCGGTAAAACCATCGAAACTAGTCCTGTGAAAATTTTGTAAACATAACGCTGATTTTTTTGTTTGACTTCTGAATTAGTAACGGTTAAAGGTTTAATGATTAAGATTAAAAGCATAATAACTATTGAAATTTTGTCGATTGGATTGCTTATGAAAGGTCTTCAGATTTCCGAAAAAATTGGGTAAAAATATGATAAGGGCATCTTTCTCTCAATGAAAGCGTAAGCATCCTGATGAGCACATTGATTACCAGTACCGGCTGTCGTATTATTGGGCTGGGATTCAAATGCATCAGAGAAGGCATGGATAATTTTAAATGCATTGTGTCCTTGCTGTATAAGGGAATTCAAAATACCATAGACCCGAAGGTCCACTCGGAAGATGGTAGGGGATAAGCGTGGAAAACGCTTGTATCCCTCCCACGGATTATTCTCCATCAAAATTGAGAGGGAAAACTTTACTACCTCCCTTAAATGCCAACAACAAGAGATACCCATTGCCTTTTTGCCCCGAGAAAATACATGAACAGGACAACAGGAATAAAATATAAAAGCATAATCTCGCAACTTGAAGTGCAAAATTTTAAAACTGCTTACACAGTGATACACACAGTAATTGTAAAAGTGTCTAATATATTACAGAATTATTAGGCAGAAATAAGATGCACACGTTTTAAAGTTACTCGCACAGTTTATATTTTATGTAAGCTATCGACATAAACGAAATTTGGGTATTTAATCATGTTAGATAGTAAGTAACGATGATTGTATTTGACTAAACATTTTGAGATATTTTCTTCTGTAACAGAGTCTAAGCTGGCTGCTGCTTCATAGAAATAGCTATTAGTTTCAGACATATATCATAACAAAAACTGCTTTCTATACCGGACTATCATGGAAACTAGTCGGTATAGAAACTAGTATGGAAACTAGCAAACACCAGTGAACGAGAAGTAAAACCATTGAATACTGGTAGTTCGACGGTTGGCTGTGGGAAAATTTTTGTGTTTTTTCCATGTACATATGTCTGTCTATGAATACGGTTTCGTACATTACGATTTATCTCCTACAAGTTAAATAAAGTGTGGTAATCCTCTTATACCACCACACGGTTTCATCCTAGCACATTAACAATGATGCTTAAATCTTCTTATAACATTTTTGTAAGCACATACCTCGATAAGACATTTTTTATACTAAATCTTTTAAAAAAATTAAGTTAAGTAATAATCCTGTGTAGTACACATAAACGACCTTTATATATTTACATAAAGAAAAATAAAATAAATTCAGAGAATACATGCATTTTCTCACATCGAAATTCTTTTGAAATTGAGTCTTTCCATTTACACAATATATAGCTTGTGCTCCAAATGATCAGTTGATGGATTGCATAAATTACGCAATTGTTATTTTGGAAAAATATCTTTTTAATTATGTGTTACTAATTAGCTTTGTCATTTTCGGAAATAATTATTACAAAATTATATTTCAATCCCAAACTTTGTCTAAAAGTAAGAAAACAGCTTTTTAAAAAAAAATATATTCTTCGAAGATGAAAATAAAAATTTTGAATTTTTAGTAAAATGGAAAAAAGGGCACTGACTTTGCAAAAAGCTTAAACTTAAATGAAGTAACCGTGAGAACCATTAAAAATACTAAAAATACTTTGTTTTTAATTGTTTTCGGAAAGCATCTCTCTGTCTTTTACTGGATGTTCGAATTACACTGTTTCAGGTAACATGATATTTTCTAGGAACTTATCTATTGCGTAATAGGAGATATATCTGTATAACGAGAATACGAACCAGTTTCCGAAAGAACGTTATCCACTAAGGCATCTTTTCTTTTAGGCAGTACCTCTTACGTGCTTTGCCATAATCCTACATAAGGTTGCTATGAGCTCAGAGTTCTAGAATGCTTTCCTATTATCTGCTCAAAAGACCAGTTAATAAGTATTACATGTGTTAAAGGTTGCAGAACCCTTGTGTTCTTTAGATTGCCTTCTACAAAGGCTTCCATTTTCGTACGCAGATAGATCTCGCTTCGAGTGAAGAGCATTACAATTAAAAGGTACTTAATTCATTAAAAACATTCTTTTTAGGAATTTATCATATTTTCCTTTGTATGCATCTATCTACCTATCAAAATTGTTTCAAAAGAATAAATTGAATTTAAATACAAATTTAATTAATTCTTTGCGCCATTGCTGCAAGGAATGAAATTAAAATTTTAACAAACATGTATATACGTAAAAAAGTAAATTTAAAGTTAAAAAAATTAAATTCAAAATAATTAAAAAATATGCAAACATATAAAAGATTTAATTTTCGAACTAATCTACAATATAATTTAAAATCAGATAGCATAAGTAAATCAAGTGCAAAACCAAACCATGAAAATAAATTCACCAATTTAGCAAATTAAAATTAATCTAAAAAATACTTAAAAATGCATAAGTGAATGATTGTTGAGCAGGCAGGAGACAGACTTATCAAGGGGAAGTTATCTCCAAACCTAACTCTTCAATCATTCAATTCGTGTTTCGTCATTCATGCAGGCAAGGGTAAAAGTCAAAACCAAAAGAAAATACATAGTAAAGAATGTCCAAAAAGAAATACTAATAAAGTGGTACCTTGAGAAATTAGCAATTAAAAATTAAAAGTCTAAAAGGAAAATACCAATAATGAAGTAATTTGAGAAATACGCAAAGTAACGTCTAGTATTAAATTAAATTTAAAAAAAATTAAATTTTAAGAAAAATTAATTTAGAAACCCTTGTCTACAGAAACCTCTCCGACACGAATATGCATATAAATCAAAAAGAAACTAAAAAGGAACTAGACATAATATATAAAAACCAACAAGAAACTAAAAAGAACTAATTCGTAATTTATAAAAAAGAAATATATACTTAAAAAAATTATTACGTATCTAGAAAATACTTAAATACTACATAAAAAATACCTAAAAAATACTTAAAAGCAAGTAAATAGTAAGTTTTAATTCTAACTTACCTACCATATTAGCGTTGGGGTCTGCAAAAGTATTTCCTAAGTGTAATGTGTAAGTGCAAGTGATGTAAGTGTGTTCTGCAAATAATATAGATGGCGCTAATTTAAGTAAAGTTGAGTGCCAAACTGCTTTGTTTTATTAAAAACTTTGTAAACTTTAATTAAAAATTTAAATATTATAAATCTAGAAAAATCAAAGAAAGAAAGTACGTAATTCAAGTTTTAATTTTAACTTTAACTGACCAACTATTTATGTAGGGAGTTTAGTAGCTGAGCCAATCAAGAGATGTAACTTTGCTCTGCAAATCATAAAAATAGTACTCTAATTGAAGTAAAGTAGAGTTAAGTGGTAATTGTGAATTAATAAATGTAAACTGTTTGTAAAGTTAAATGTGTGTTCTGTGGCAAAATTGTGTAAATAATGCAAATAAGTGAAAAAATATTTTGTGTGAAAATTAAAAATTAATAATTAAAAATAGTTAAGTAAAACTGAAAAGTTTAAAAATTTAAAAAAAAGTAAAATTTAAAATTAAAATTTAAAAAAAGTCTTAAGACTCTTAAAAATTCCTCAAATTTTTTCAAGTAAAATTTAAATTCTGAAATGAATTCCTTAAAAAAATTTTTATTTATCAAATTTAAAGAAAGAAAATGTAAGTTAAAAAAGAAATTTCCCAGAAATTTCTCAGAAATTTCCTAGAAATTTCCCAAAATTTCTTAAAAAATGATTATTAAAAGCTAAATTTAAAGACAGAAAGAAAATATTGAAAGTTTTAATAAACTTGATTTCAACTGGTATATCAAAACTGTACTAAATACTGGCATATCAAAACTTTACTAAATACTGGCTAAAGTATGGAAAATTAGAAGAAGATTAAAATCTTCATCAATTCGGGCTATAATTAAGACTTTTGAAAAGAGTTGGCCCTTTACTAGTAAAAGGAAAGAATCCAGTATTGATTAAATATACATATTTACAAATTTATTTACAATAAAATTTACAAGATAATTCCCTTACTCTTCTATATCCTCCATTACCCTCCAGCTAAGGTTTAAGGTAATGTTATCATACCATAAAGAGCCAAAAAATTATAAAGTTAATGCCTGCCTTTTTAATATATAAATTAATAAATTATATTATTTGGCTATGAAACGTGTTTTCTATTACTTTTCTAGAGATATTAGAGTTCCAATTAATTAGTTTAATAGTAGGAAAATGGAAATTCCTTCTTTTATCATATAATTTAATTTTGCTGTGTTTAATAATTAGCAGGTCTAGGTATTCAATAGTATCTTGATTCATATTCATTTTATTAAGTGTTAAACTATTTGCGTAAATTTTGAATTGCTCAAAAGCAGAATTATTATTGAAAGT